TGTTCCAAATTACAAACACGGGGCGTGTTTTTTGCACAGTTGCTGTGCAAAAAACAGATGGGGCCCTGGTCTCCCAGTAGACCCACTGGAACCCTCATCCTGAATGTTAAACAATGATCCACAGAGAGGAAGTGATTTGTTCTTTCTGGTTAATAATCCCTTCCACACACTAGAATCCTTCATGTGCAGGAACATGTGAGCTGGTCTGAGGTTTTAACACTGGGGCTCTCTGGCTTCCCTCCGGAGCTTTTGTTTGCTGAGACTGACAGCATTTGGAGTAGTAATGTGGCAAAGCTTGTCAACACACAGCTTATTCTCTGCTTTCCAAACACATGTGAGGCAGACTGGCTCTCCAGGAAGCTCTGATTTTTCTGGGGAAAGGAAATGTCACATGCAAGTCAAAAAGAAAAACATATTTGGAATCAAGAGGAGTAATTGGTTTGTGTATCAGGACAAATTCTGATCAGCTGACAAATACGTTGCAATGATTTGTAGGTGTAGATGTTGTCTAGATTGGTCTAAATCAGTATTGCCTTATGGAATATACATATGTGCTTCAAATAAAAAACTATATCCCTGAAGGATTTTTGGAAAAGCCAACATTGCTCAAGAAAACTAGGCTGGTGTCAGTGCCCTGGAAAGGCAGTTGTGCTTACATTCTCCTCATGTTACTCCTCTGCCAAAAGCAGCACAATTACACAGATCAAACGGCTTAAGAGATTCATTTCATATTTCATGGTACTAAACACAAAGATCTCTGGAACTGGAAATCTTAGGTAAAGGCTTCAGCCAGGTACTTGAGACCAGAGGTGCATGAGGTAAAAACATTACCAGAGTAATCAATGTTTCACGCACTTAGGTCTAAGTGGTCAGTGCGTTTTACTCATGAAAGAAAGGTTCCATTGAATAATCCTAGGGGTGATCAGAGCTTTTCCTCTCTTTTCCAGGGCCTCAGACCAATTCTGGCTGGGACTCCTATTGTTATCACTAGACAAAAGATACTTCCTGGGGGATCCCTTACCCATGGTGGATCCATTGCTTTCTTTGCATTGGGAAAAGACTTTACGTTTCAGGCCCCAGTAGGTTCTACTTGCCATTTTCCCCATGACACCACCTTTCAGAGGGATCTTCACCTCCCTCCCCCAATTGAATGTTTTATCCTTTTTTCAAAGATTTTATTTATTTATTTTGAGAGAAAGGGGAATGGAGGGAGAAAGAGAAGGAGAGAAACATCAATGTGTGGTTGCCCCTTGCGTAACCCCTACTGGGGACCTGGCCCACAACCCAGGTGCGTGCCCTGACTGGGAATCAAACCAGCGACCCTTTGGTTCGCAGGCTGGTACTCAATCTACTGAGCCACGCCAGCTAGGGCTGAATGTTTTACCTTGACTTAGGATTCCCAAAGCCTGGTGCAAAAGTTATTGTTCTTTGATTTTCTTTTTGTTTCCTTGAGGACTATTTTTAGAGAAAATGATTTTTTAGGTTAAGCATGCATTAAGATAGGGTTTCAATCCACTGTGCCACTGACTTATGCAGAGAATAGAATGGGATGTCTTTGTACATAGTTAGGTGGTAAACTATGGCCATTTCATGCTTTGACCTTATTTTCCATGGAATTAAATTAAACATACCCTTCTATTAGGGTTATGTATATTTGTATTTGTTTATATCTGGCCTACCTTAAGTTCAAAAATCTTAAAGAAAAGAACAATAAAAATTTCCTTTATTGCTGAAAGTGCCAAAACCCCAATACCTCTCATGTAGCATTTTCTTGCCAGTAAAAGAATGAAGGTAATGGAGTTAAAGAATTATCTTATGTGTGTTTGGTGGAAAAGTACATCTGATGGTATGGAACTAGTTTAAGAACATTTGCTTTAATGTAATTTTAATTTTCACAAAACTCAGGTTTGTGCTAGTTTTGCCTTGGAGCATCCTAGTGAAGTGCATGTCTCATTGCCAAGGCACACACACACCTGGAGTGACCTTGGTAGAGACGTGTGCTCTGGAAATGTTCATTGTGGTTTGTGCCTTAGAGCTGTCGAAGAAAATGTATCCGTTTGTTCATTCAAATATTTTTTGAGCATCTCCCATGTTCCAGGCACTGTTCTAGGACCTGGGGGCATAGTAGTAAAGTGAACCAGGACATATCTCTGCCTTTCTACTCTACTCTACTCTAGAGGATGGAGACAAAGATTAAAAAAATAAGAAAAATTATATAACATGGTAAGAGGCAATTAAATGCTGTGGGAAATAATAAATTAGGGTATAGGGTGCAGGGAATGAGGGGTGCCAAAGGACGGGGATTGCAATTTGTAATAGTATATTCAAAATCAGCCTAACAGAAAAGGTAATAGCTGAACAAAGACTTAGAGGTGAGACAATGAGACCTGATTTTATTGGGGAAAAAGCTATTCCAGGCAGAAGGATTAGCACATGCAAAGGCCCTGAGGTGGCATTCCTACCATACTCCAGGCCAGTGTGACCACAAAACACAGGGTAAGGAAATAGACAGTAGGAGAGGAAGGCACTGGGCAGCAGAGAGGTAAGAGAAAGGGCAGATTATAGTATAGGGCCCTAGAGGTCATTGTGAGGCCTTCAGCTTTACTCTGAGTGAAATGCCGAGCCAGTGAAAAGCTTTGAACAGAGGAGCGGTAAATTTTAGCTTTTGTTAAGAAGGTTCATCATGGATACTATGTTAAGGTTAGATCGTAGAAAAAACAAGGACTGAAGCCGGCAGACTAGTTGGGAAGTGTTGCTTTCATCCAAGTGAGCAATGATAGTGGCTCAGACCAGGAGGTAGCACTGGAAGTATGGAGAAGGAAAATGGATTCTATGCATATTTTGAAGGTAAAGCCAGCAGGAATTCTGAAGGCCTGGATCTAGAGAGTAAGAGGAGGCAAGAAGTGGTGCATGACTCCCAGGTTTGGGCCTGGCCAACTACAAAGGGTTGAGTAGGTTTTAAAGTAAAGCTGTTAGGAGTTTAGTTTTGAATGTGTTCAGTTTGAGATGTCTATTTGACAATAAGTGGAGATGTCCATTACATAGTTTGAACAAACAAGACTGGATTTCAGCAAAGACTTGGAAATTTAAATTTGAGAAACGACAACATATGTAGCAGTAAAAACCAGGAAACAAGATGAGCTCAAAGGAGTGAGTGGGAATAGAGAAGTTCAAGAACTGGGCCTCGGAGAAACCCCAGGTCCACAGGTCAGAGAAGAAAGGTTAACTAGCAAAGGAGTGACCAGTGAAAGAAAACCAAGAGAGTACAGTGTCCTGCAAACCAAGATAAGAAAGTACTTGTAAGAGGCAGAAGTGATCTGCTATGTCCAATGTTAGTGATAACACAAGAATGGCAAGGACTGAAACTGGCCATTGATTTTAGTAATGAGGACGTGATTGGTGAGCGCTACAGAAATATGGACAGTATTTTTCCTAAATTGTAAAGCAGATCATGGTGATGACTGGTTGCAATGAAGGCCACATCCCAGAGCTCTGATGGTCCAGCTTTACAGATGATAGCTTTACCGGGGGAAGGGGTTGCACAGCATACACAATTTTATAAGACCAAATTGGGTAGGACTGTCTTCTATCCTTTTAATAGGACTTCTCAGGTCTGTTAGTGGAAATGGGGGAAAGAGCAAAGAGGAATACTTTGAAGGAGCATAGATGGAGCTTCTGATGAATTCTGGTTGGGGTATCCCAAGCACTACATTTTGAGAAATGACTAGAGCTCATTGATTAAACTTTAACTATAAAGAAAGATAAGTAGCAACCACTTTATTTACATGCATTTTCTGGAATCTCTTACTTTTCCCCCTCAATTTGTCCATTAATACCTGCATGAAACAATAAGAGATATAACACTATGTAAAGATATTTTTTATATCATGAATTTAATAAAATCAACATTGGCAAAGAAGACAATAATAATGCATGCAAATATTTGTGTATATTTTTTAGATAGAATAGATAGAAACTTTTCATCAGTCATCACTATTCATATATTGCCTTATTTCAGTGGCTTGATGGTAATTAATTAACATCAACCAGCTCTATTTTGGGGTCAGACAGGGCTGATTTTTAGGAACGTGCTATTTCTGTGGTGTAAATACTTCCATCATGGCCCATTTCAAACTACCAATGTGAGGTCATTCAGACCTACCAACTGAAGTCACTTAACGGACTCTTGGGAGCCCATGGAAATGGGTTCCCACACACTGTTTACCTGCAGGCTAACCCTGCTTCTGCCTGAAACCAGCAAATTCAAAAACAGACTAAAATTAGGAAAGGAAAATAGAAATATAAAGTGTTCCAGTATATAATTAACATGCATGTATATGATATATAAATATCATACATAATTATATTACATGTTATAAATATGTTTTCAAGACTAAAAGAAGTGTCACAAAAATTTCAGGACAGGGGTCTGGACAGGAAATTAATATTTGAATATGTTCACATGGGGGCATATGCCAAATGTGTTATTTAACTCTCATAGCTTTGTAGCACATGTATTACTAACCCTTATTTTTAAATGACAAATATCTGTTCAGAGAACAGTCATTAGACCAGGATTACAGAGACAACAAATATTAGAGTGAAGACGCAAACCCAGATCTACCTGACTTCAAAATCTATCCTCTCTCCCTTAAACCATGTCCGGAAGCTCCAGAATATTGTCCATGAATTAGTAGAACAAATTCTGATATGTTAATTGCCACATTGGTGGCAGAATACTAGTATGCTAATTACCTCCTGCATATTAAACTTAATTAATAAATTATTAAGTGAAAAATATTTTGATGGTCTAAATTTTCTAGCATTATTTATTCTCCTTGGATTATACATATTCTCCAAAATGATAATATCCTGTATCAGTGCTGTAGTCAAGTCATCCGTTTACTCTAATTCATTTCCAGGAACACTACTCAAAAGAGAAAGGAGAGAATATAACTTGTGTCCTTTCTAACAATACCTGATTTTGCATTGCTCTCAAGGCTACTACATGTACATTGAGGCCTCTCATATGGTATATGGACAAAAAGCGCACCTCTTATCTGGGCCTCTGCGAGGAGCCACCGGGAGACACTGCTTGACCTTTTTCTACCACATGTATGGAGCAGGGACTGGCCTGCTGAGTGTGTATTTGAAAAAAGAAGGTGACAGAGAAGAATTCCTCTTATGGAGAAGAAGAGGTGAACAGAGCATTTCCTGGCTGCAAGCACAGATTGAATACAGCTGTGAGAGGAAACACCAGGTAAGCCAAAGGCGATGAGAATCAAGTAATGGAAAATGTCCCTGTGAGCTTCTGATGTTCTTTATTTTCCTTGCTACCAAAGAGGGTGTTTTGTTCATTTTCAGGGTCATAGATGAAGACAGTACTTGTTTAAGAGTAAACATAATTAGTATATGCTGATTAAATCTGAGCGGCGAATGGGAAATTAGGTGGGGAGAGATAGTTTTGGGTATTTATGCATAAAATGATATTTGCAGCTCAATGATGAAAGTGTATCTATTTTTGTCTTGGTACATTATGCATGTCAAGTACATTCTGTGTGTCCTGCCAATCTCTAAAACAGAGTCTTTCTTCTAAACATGGTATTACCTAATTAGTTTTTGCAGCTGCATCATTCACTCATCTTTACCCACATACAAGGGCTTGTGTTATAAGCCTATGTTTATCAGAGTATATTGTCCAGGGGTTTAATTCTGTCTGCATTGATGCAGAAAAAACTGTAAGTCTTTGTTTTTTAATATGTTTATTGATTTGAGAGAGATAAAGAGAAAGAAACATCAATGTGAAAGAGAAACATTGATTGGTTGCCTCCATATGCACCCCTAACTCGGGATTGAACCCAGAACCTATGTATGTACCTTGACTTGGAATCAAACCGCCAGCCTTTTGATCTATAGGATGGTGCTCCAACCAAATGAGCCCCGCAGCGAGGGCAAAACTGTGAATCTTAATTTCAAAACCTGGGTTTCTCCCAGGGTCTTTTCGTATACTGTGGAAGACCTTCATCCTACCAGATTCTGATTATAAGAGAATCTTGACAGCCATAGGAATGAGGCTTTTACATTCCAATAGACAAGGTGGAGCAGCCAATCTAATCTAGAGATGAGCAGCAGCCTCCTAATAGCCACTGACTTCACCTGCCAAGCATGAGCCAAAGCTTGAGAACACTGTGGGGAGATAACCTTTAAAGCCCTGACTGTTTCTGAACTTGCTCTGAGGAATCCTGTGACCTGCAACTAAAAGCCCTGCTTCCTCCTTGTCCTTGCTTCTGGCTGATAAACCCCCTGGACCAATACCTCTCAACTTCTACTACAGGCTGCTTGGTCTAAGTCTAAATCTTCCTGGGAAGAGGTATCAAAAAGAAGGGCTTTATTTTTTACCACCCACAACCACAATGACTGTTCTACAGATCACAATGGGGAGGAACAGCAGAAGCTCAGGTGGCCAGCTTGCAGTGCCATCCAGGGTGCAGCACTGCTAAAGAACAGAGGGTGGAGGGAAGATGTGCCATCAGCCAGGGATGCCCCCTTATCTCAGCATGGATAAAACCATCTAGAAATTTAGTAAAGAATACAAGATAGCCCCAAGGGTTATTTTGATGGTGATTTAATGTCTATTTACAAAAGGAAAGTGGATTACTCAGGAACTTTCTAACATAATTGACCATCATTCAGAGGTGAGGAGTTAATTTTGTTAGGCAATAAGGGTGCCATTCCCGATTCAGATGTTTTCACATGTGGTCCTGAGACAAGTGACAACACCTGAAGTGTGAATTCACCTAAAATGAGACTCACCTGAAATGCACATTCTCAGGCCCAACCTCAGAGCTTTTGACCAGAAATTCTGGGGTGGGGAGCCCAGAAATGTGTGTCTTAACAAGCCTTCCTGGTGGTTCTGGTATATGCTGAAGATGGAGAATCTCTGTTCTAGACTAAATGAATCTGAGTCTCTCAAGCAGATCCTGAGTATTGGTGTTTTTAAATCCTACCAATGTTGCTGATGCACAAGAGTTCAAGGATTTGAGTTCTGGGAAATGGGTGACTCTCAGCATCTAAGCCCAGGGCCTCAGGCACAGGGCCTTGCATCTACTAGACTTGCTAGGTGACTGGTTCTTTCAAATGTTTTTTGAGCACAGAGTAGTGGCGCTTTTGGGGTGGTACTTTGGGGTGTTCAAGTTCAAAGGGTACAGAATGGCCTGAGAGGTTTACAGCTCACAATCTGGAAGGAAGGCTTGAGACCATTGTCTTTGGCTTAGAATGAAACAGATATAAATATGCCATGTGGCATTTTCTTCCACATTTAGTGACTTCCTCAGGTTTCCCAAATGACTGTGTGAAGATTCCTCAAAACATCCCAGTGTCTGTGCACATAGACTGGCCATCTTCTATGTGCCAGGCTCTTACAGTGCTAAGAGCTGCACATAAATTCTTCCAGTTGATCTCATAGGTCCTCTTTCCAGCTGGGGGAAACTAAAAATCCAGCAGGTAAATGGTAGAGTGAGAATTTGATCCCATATCTGACTGGTTCCAAAGTTTGTATCCCTAAGCCACTGTTATATAGTCCCTGCCACCATAGAAGTTCCAAAATATACTCATTCTCCTGGATGTCACCAGCACTGGTGACTTCGGGAAAAAAATCTCATTCTCTCTGAGATTTATATATTTTCAAAATTGGGTAATATTCCTGGCACGATGGCATCACCAGAGTTAGAGTAAGGGTCAAATTATGTATGCGAAAGGGTTTTACAAACTTTAAAATATCAAAATATTAAGATATTGTTGTTGTTTCTAAAAATATATTCCCTCCAAGCCTTGCTGGTCTCTAATTCATATCACCAGGACAGACACGATGTAGCTATTATTCCCAATAGCTGCATCAGGCATCTAAACCAAGCTCCCATAGTATAAGGCCAAAATATCTCATTGTAGTAAATATCTATTGACCACTTGCTAGTCTGGTAAATGTGTTCATCATCAGTGGGGATAGGCAAGTGGAGACGATTTTTAGAATGCTGTAGTACTCGGGTTGCGATTTGAGACGACTCCTATATGGAAAATATATGGGTGGCCTCCCAATGACATTCCAGTCATCAGATTATCCTTGGGGAAGAAATGTTATCAAGTGGCAAAATTTTAATTATGTTCCTTCCTGGGGGAACTTAATAAAATGTGAACACAGAATCTGACTTCGCTATTGATCAAAAACACAAAATGATTTTACTTCCTTTGATTCTTTGCTTCCCTTTCCTCCTCTGCTCTCAGGTGTTTTTCTCTTTGGCTTTTAATATTTTGACACCAGTGAAAGAAAGCATTAGACAGATTCTCAGCTCACTGAAATATGTACATCATTCTTACTTATGATGCTGCCTAACATTTACCGGAATTATTATGTCCCCAGTACTCAGCTAAGACCAGGTCTCCACATTTTCTTGTTCATGCTGTCCTTTGTCTCAGTAAATTTTTTCTGATTCCCTTGACCAAAAGAAATACCTAAAAGTTCCATTTATTAAGTAGCTGGGTTTGGACAATTTTGTAAGTATTTATGTCCTAATGACTTAGCAGCCATTTCAAAAAATAACACTTACATTGAAAGAAAAATAATATTTTTATCTTATTCTTAAATAATCTCAATTATTTACTAATGGGCCATATATCTATAATACAAGGCTGAAATCATAATGCTATAAAATAGTTATTATTCAAGTATTAAGGAAATTCAAAGGAGGTTTTATGAAATCGAGTGTTTTAGCCCCAGCACAGACTATTAAGAATATAATGCCATCAAGTAATTGTTCTATTGCACTTTACATTGCAAACTTGGTAGTCAAAAAACAGGTTTTATTATTTTTTTAAAAAACCAAAATACTTATTAACTACATTCATATATCTTACTGTCTAGATGTATTAGGACCTTTTCCCCTCCTTTTCTTGACAGTAATTTGGATCCTTGTTTAGGATTGTGTCCTCGGAAATTTTATTATTTGGCCACATTTCTATTATTAAAGCTTCTTTGAGTCATTAATTTTAAGATAGTTTCATATGCTTATTAATTATCTACTTTATATGTTTTGATTTACTTTAAATCACAATCTAGTCCAATGGGGAGTCATTTGCTTACAAAATGAATAGAGAAAATGTGTCTTCTGGATAATTTTTTTACCCACAGCCTCACTGGAGTATTCACTGGTTTATTAACCATTGTTGGGGCTGCCTTAGAGATTTTAATATAATTGATTTACCCTAAAACCTGAATATTTGATTAGTTATTTTCTTCTCAGGATTTAAAGTCATAAAACTGCTTTACTCTTCTTTCTGGGCTTTCTTGGATGTCACGGTATTTAACATGGTAGGTGAAACATTGGGTTTTTTTGGTAAATTTAATTATTATAATTTGCTGTTCATACTTTGGCCTCATCAGTCATATTAAATTCTTCCACCTAGACCCGTGTCAAAGGTAGATTTATGGAAAGCTTAAGGAAGCTTAAGCTTCTGGGCTCATCACTTTCATAGGCCCGGTGAGTGCTGGGTGTAGAATATTCTAGGGAGGAGGGAAAATCAGGTCATCACCAGGAAGCATTTCAAGGTGAGCATTTCTGGTAAATAATCTAAAGAGATCTCAGAAGAAAGGGATCTGAATCTCCAATTCTCCAGTAATTTGTTGTGAATTTCTTTAAATTCCAAGTAAATATTCTCTTTTGTACCTAAATTTGAATTTGTGATTTTTGTATTCTTTTCCTTTTAGGGGGCCCAGAGAACAATGTAAGCTTCTAGACCCATACAACTTGGCTCTGTCCCTGACCAGCCTTGCTTTATCAGGATGACTGTGTTTCTAAATCAAACTTCATTATTTTTCAGTTAATTTTTGAAGCCATTCGGGGAATGTCGATAAGAAGTGATATTGCCATTGATGATGTTAAATTTCAAGCAGGACGCTGTGAAGGTAACAGTTTTTTTGCCAATTAAATAAGTTTAATTTAAAAGGAATTTTGAAACAGTCTCAAATCATAAGAATGCAAATTAAATATTTATCTACAATAAAAATAGAGAAAACTATTATTGTCTATTTGTCTCCTGACAGAAATAGAAGATATAACTCAGCAATCATCAGGATACTCTGAAGATTTAAATGAAATTGAGTATTAGGAAATGACCCGAATTGGATTAACTAAACAAAAGCCATACCTCTTCAATCAAAATGAAAAAAAAGAAAACAAATGAATACTGGACAACCTTAACTATTGAATAAGTTATGAAATAACTTCAGAGCACTCTTCTTCATTACTTTTGCAACAAATACTGACTCAGGGCTTTTTTTTTTTTTTTTTCATATGACAACTGTCTCTAGAAGTACAGGCTGCTGGTTTTGCATAGATCATTCACCTTAATTTTGGTACCAGGTCAAAATACAAATGTACTATATAATAGTCATTTTTAAAGTACACAGATAAAGGGCACAGTCAAAATGAGATGTGCTCACTTAAATCTGCATTCAGTGAATGTATAGGGAGGAGAATAAGACTATGGGTTTCATTTTGAACTTCAAATATCATAAATATTTTTAAAAAATAATGTGGGGTGTCAGTAATATCTGCAAAATGAATGCAGTTTTTATGGTAACAAGTTAGTCTAAGAATATAAAGTCTTATTTTCTGTTCTATTCATAGAAATGGAGTATTAACTTCTAAATATTTTAACTCCATGTGATAACAAAGGATCTTTCATAAGTGTCCCAGGGTAAGTCAGTATTAATTAATGATGTATTACAAGGCAATTCTACTTTCTTTTTTCCACCTTTGAACTACTTTTGAAAGTCACTATGATCACATGGATAGAAACTGCTCTCTTTATTTTTTGTAAAGCAAGCTTGAAAATAATTATGTACACACACCCCAAGTTTTTTTAAACTTATAAAAATCAATTACATTTTTTAACAACAAATTGTTTTGGTAAGGTTTTGAGTAATATAAATTCCGTCAGCTATAATTAACTGCTGCTTTTCATTTACATGTTAGAAAATTGTATATACATGTTTACATACCCAAACAGCTGTTATGAAATTATAAGATTACCTAATAAAAAGTAATGTAAAAATCTTTTCACTAGTAATTAATTCATTTCTACATTATTTTTTGTTGTCAGAATATCCTTACTACTGAATGCAGATTCTAATTTGAGTCTCTACTCTGCCACAATTAACTGCCTCTTAACCTTTCATTAGTGACATAAGCACTGTATAGATTGATGGAATAATTAATTTTAAAGAGTTTTTAATTCACATAAACATTCTCAAACCCCACCCCCCTCCCCCAATTTTATCTTTTTAGAATTTAAGCTGTTATGAGGATAAGAATTCTGGCTTGTTTTGTTTACTTTTGTAGTGTCAGTACCCAGAAGAATGTCTGGTATATAGTAGGTGCTCAATAAATAAATACTTGGATGGGTGGATGGATGGATGAATGAATGGAAGGATGAATAAATGGATTTAATCCTTTCAATATTCTCCTAGATGGAGATATTAACTTGTTTCAAAAATGAGAAAACCAAGGCTCAGAAGAGTGAAAAAATAACTTAAGATTCCACAGCTATTAAGTAAAGGAACTCAGAGTCAGGTCTCTCTCACCCCAAAGTCCACACCTCTTACTGCTTTGTGTGCCTAAAAATCCATTCTTCTGATAAGAGTTGGGAAGATTTCTCACTAAAGAATTTCAAAACCCATCAATTAGTTTGTAAAGAGCATTATACCTCACTGAACAGCACATTACTTAGAAAACAAAAAATACTAACATTAGTCCTAATTGGTGTGGCTCAGTTGATTGTGTGTCATCACACAAAGCAAAAGGTCGCCAGTTAGATTCCCAGTGAAGGCACATGCCTGGGTTGTGGGCCTGGTCCTTGGTTGGGGTGTGTGCAAAAGGCAACCAATTGATATTTCTCTCACACATTGAAGTTTCTCTCCCTTTCTTTCTCTCTCCATTCTCCTCTCTCTAAAAATAAATAAATACAATCTATAAAAAAAAAAAAACCCAACTATACAAAATAAACATCCTGAGGTTTATGGAGAAAATAAATTAACTTTTATAGTAAAGCAAAATTTTGTAAACCAAATCCTTTCTATTCATGATGATTAATTATCATAGCAGGGGAATCCCTAAAAAGAGTTGAATCATTGGGGAAGGCAGATTTCAAGATGTTGACCAGCTGAACAACATACTAAACAGCATAATTTTCTGAAAGTATAATTCCTGTCCAGAGCTTAATTATATCTGCTGAATAAATAAATGAAGATTGTGTCTCTAGGACCTAATATCTAGTGCGTAGTAAGGGGTTTATAATATGTGGTAAATTAAGTCAATCACCAGCCCCCTTGCTAATGGGTTACATAAATCCATAGTAATAATCATAGCTAACATTTATTGAATACTATTTTTAGACATTGTTCAGAGTTTTACATGAATTCACTCAAGTTATCATTCTGATAACAACCCATGAAGTAGATCTAGTATTATTTCCATTATAAATAGAGAAAGTGAATTTGTTCAAGTGCAGCAACTAGCATAGGGCCTAGTTTTGAACTTGGGTCTGTTTCACTGCCAAATTTGTGTTCTAATCCTTGTAAGACTGTCTTCTGTACCTAACTCTCCTGACAACTCCATCCACAATACTTATTTAAACTCTAGTGAAAGGTCTCAAGTTCCCTCATTCAAGAGAATTTGTTGGCTACCAAAGGTTGCCAAACCAGAAATACTACTTGGGACACCAACTTTGAGAATTGTGGGGCTGGGAAAAGTTGGAAACTAGTTATTGACTTAGGGCAGAAAGGTAGGAGGTAATTATTACCAGCTATTGCTCAGAAACAACCTGAAGCTCCTGTAAGAAAAGAGAAGGTTGAAGGTGAACAGATTAATTTACTCTCCCTCATGCATGCCTCTTTTGAAGGATTTGCTTTTTGGATACTTGTTTTCCTTTTCCAGGTTGCCTTTGAATTAATTTTAACTATATTTCACCAGGATGGAAATATAGAAGGATAGTAGTAAGCACAATATAGTTTTCCCAGGTTTAGAAATGTCCGGGGGGAGAGGCATACTAACAGGTACTGCTTAACATTTAAATCCAGTGTTTACATTTATTCCAATTTTCACCTAGACACACAAGCGTTTCAGATATAACCTACTTTTTCACACAGTTGCCTTCTCTCCTATATTTGCTGTTTGTGTTGGAGATTATCTATATATAGAAGGGAGTGAAAAAAAGGAACTGAGGAAATGGTGGCTGAGATGCAAGGTCTGGTTTAATACGAAGAAGAAAAGTTTCAGGAAAGACTTGTTGAGAAATCTATGCTCCAGCCATTATACCAAGCATGGGAGTAGCAAAGATGCTCACATATTAGTGAGCAAAATAGACATCTAAACCTGTCAGTGCAATTCAGAGCGCTAAGTACCATAAGGTCACATGCTCAGGGTGCTATCAGAGGGCCTGGCAGGGGCATCTGCCTCCTGGCCCAAGTCTGGGCAGAGCAATCAACTGAGACCTACTGACACGGACTCTGACTTATTCCCAGATGGGGGACATATTTTCCTGTGCAATTAACTAGAACTGGGGGGAAAATAAAAGTTTTCATAACTGATCATTGTAATAGGGTTGCATTTTCAACATGTGGATTACTATACAGAGGTGATAGTGATTAAGTGCAAGGCTTCTGGATTCAGGCTGTCTCAGTTTAAATCCTGGCTTTGCCACTACAGGCTTTTTGACTGAGGGCAAGCCACTTAAAACCTCTCTGACTCCTATTTCTATTCTGCAAAATGGGGCAAATGCTTGACTATACTTCTTTAGGCTGCTATAAAGATTAAATGCAAATAATAACGTGCAAGCACTTAATGTCTGACATACAGGAGCCATTCAAGTTTACATTATAAGGTTTGAGTGAAATTTTTGGATAAATTGCAGTTATTTTTATGTATTCTTTCTTTATATAGGAACTGTGAGTTTATAGTGCCATCTTAAGGATAAAGCAACCATGTACTCTTACCCTTTCATCAACTTTTTCTTATGAGTAGCAATACAAGGTTCATTTTTACCAGCACCTAGGCAATGCCTTCCCCTTTGCTCTCCTTACTCCAGCCAGTAGTAGTTCTTCTGTTATATATATCTCCAGGAAAATTTATCATGCCAAAACTAACGTCTTCTTTTCATGTCCATCTTCTTAGGAATGGTCACTTAATAAATTTTGTACTCCCACTGCCTATCATACTCAGCAAATCTGGATTAAATAAACAAAAGCTCAATAAAAGCATTTATTTTCATACAAATATGTATGTGGATTTTTAAATATCAAAAGGGATATAAATCTCTTTGGTCTATCAAAACTTCATTGTCCAAAAACCCACACACTAAAACTTTAACATGGAAATATGTCCCTGGTCAGTGATACACTTACGGTACCAAGTAAAAACAAATACAGACCTTTCTTAGAGAGTCAGGCACCCAACCTAGGCTGCACAAGTTCCCCACATATAAAACTGCACAATTAAAAATCACAAAACATTTAGTGAAAACTAGCAGCAAAATTCAGCTGTCAACAGCCAGCAGAATTAGATACCCAAGACTTCCTAGGATTAGATTTTTTTTGATAGACACTTTATTTTTAAAAATGATTAGAGACTTCCCACCAAAAAGCAATGAAAACATAACAAAAGGCAGTATGAAAAAACAAGCAGGCAGATTTTAAAGGGAACCAAAAATAACATCTAACATAAAAAAACATGGCCATTAAAATAAAAAATTCAATGGAAAGGCAGATACCTAATTAAGTACATGTAATAGGAGAGAGATGGTGAACTAGAATATAAAATAATAAACCAGTCCGTAATGTGACAGGAAAAAAGGTGAAAAATAGGAGACAATGAATGAGACTACCTAGTATATTAAAATAAGAGCCCCAGAAAGAGAGAATGGGGGAGAGGGTATATTCAAAGGGAGAATATTTTATTATATTTTTAAAGATTTTATTTATTTATTTTTAGAGAGAGGAGAAGGGAGGGAGAGAGGGAGAGAAATATTGATCAGTTGCCTCCAACCAGGGACCGGGCTGGCAACCCAAGCATGCACCCTGACTGGGAAGCGAACTGGTGACTCTTTGCTTTGCCAGATGACGCTCAACCAACTGAGCCGCGCTGGTCAGGGCCAGAGAATATTTTAGACTTTTAGAATTGGACGTGCCTAAAAACACTCATTATCAGGAAATTCAACAAATTCTGAGCAAAGTCAAAATAAATCCATACATAGCTACATTGTTATAAAATTATGGAATGCCAAAGGCAAAGAGATTTAATGTAAGTGAAAAGACTGATGAATTACAGAGAAATGAATATTAAAATCAAACTTTTCAAAAATGAGGAAGGTGTGAAGACAGCGGAATAATATCATTAACATGTTGAGAGAGAATAATGCCAAATGGGAATTTTATCATTCAAAAGAGCAAAATGATGACATGTTCAGGTAAACAAGGAAGAAATGTTTTTTCATATGTGTATATATGTACACACATTTATATCTATCAAAGATAGTAAAATAAATATATACATATTCATGAATCAATGATAGTAAATGAATACA